ATTTATTAATAATTACAATATTATTTTAATATATATACATAATATAATAATTATAAGTTAATATAAATTTAAGAAATTTATATTCTTACTAAAATACTATATTATTAAAATAGCAATTTATTTATGTTATATGTATACATATATACAAATGTACAAATATATATATAATATATATATATATATATATTTATATATATATTATATACAGGGTGTCCCATTTTAATCCGGCCGGCTGAATAAAATTCGAGGATGATATTTTCCAGAAAAAAATGTCAGACAAATGTTGTTCAGTTCTAAGGGGGACATTCGATGCCATCAACAATTTTGACCTCGAGTGAAGGGTTCAAAGTCATTCAAGGTCAACTTTTTTTTTTAAATGGCAACCCCTATTTTTCACATCGGCAATCGATTCTACGTAAAAAAAAAATGAAACTTTTGTCTGAAGCATTTTTTTTTATAACGCAAACTAATTTCACTTATTCAGCCTCCAAAATTGAAATTTTCAAACTTTCTGAATTTTTTACTCGAGAATGGTGAGGTTTGAGGGGAAATTGCAGAAAACAAAAAGTTCCTGGAATGCTGCAAGGAATTCACTTGAATTTTCGCATAGTTAATCGTGCACTTTTTTCCGCCAATGTTTTGAAAAAATCTTTTATCTCATCATGTCCAGTACCCTCGGCCCTTTTCAGGGCCAATAATGTGCAAAATCCCATCGGCGTCCTCCACGTGGTGCACATCGGGTGATGCTAATGCCGAGAGTACTGGACATGATGAGATAAAAGATTTTTTCCAAACATTGGCGGAAAAAAGTGCACAATCAACTATGCGAAAATTCGAGTGAATTCCTTGCAGCATTCCAAGAACTTTTTGTCTTCTGCAATTTCCCCCCAAACCTCACCATTCTCGAGTAAAAAATTCAGAAAGTTTGAAAATTTCAATTTTGGAGGCTGAATAAGTGAAATTAGTTTGCGTTATAAAAAAAATGCTTCAGACAAAAGTTTCATTTTTTTTTTACGTAGAATCGATTGCCAATGTGAAAAATAGGGGTTCCCATTTAAAAAAAAAGTTGACCTTGAATGACCTTGAACCCTTCACCCGAGGTCAAAATTGTTGATGGCATCGAATGTCCCCCTTAGAACTGAACAATATTTGTCTGACATTTTTTTCTGGAAAATATCCTCGAATTTTATTCAGCCGGCCGGATTAAAATGGGACACCCTGTATATGTGTATACCGACTGTTTCAGACCACCTCGGGGTTACTCGATTTTTTCGTTAACGCGACATTTTAGAGAAAAATATTTCAGACAAAAGTTGTAGGGCTTCAAAGGATCTATTTATTGATGCTTTGAATTTGACCTTGGGATAACCTTGAAAAGTCCAGTCAAGATAACATAAGAATCTGAAATGGTAACCGCGATTTTTTATTACATCGTCTTTTTCATTAATTAATTTAAACAATTTTTATCTAAAATATTTTTTTATTTGCTTAATATTTTTTTAGATATTGAAGGACAACGATAACTTTTTCAATATTTCAATATTTTTAACTTACGATATCTCGCTACCTAGTTGTCGGAAGAAAAAGTGTTACTAGACTTTTTTGCTCTATTTAGTCTCAAGAATATATTTTTACAATAGCGCCCTGATTTTTGTTAACCTGATGCTTTTTTGGAAATTTCAAAATCATCAAATTAACCAAATTCAGGGCGCTATTGGAACAATATATTCTTGAGACTAAATAGAACAAAAAGTCTAGTACCACTTTTTCTTGTGACAAATAGCGAGATATCGTGAGTTAAATATTGAAAAAGTTACCAAGTTATCCTTAAATATCTGAAAAAATATTAGGCAAATAAAAAAATGTTTCAGACAAAAGTTATTCAAATTAATTGGTGAAAAAAGATGGTGTAATAAAAAATTGAAGTTTCTATTTAAGATTTTTATGTTGATCTTGACTGGGCTTTTCAAGGTCATCCTGAGGTCAAATTTATAGCATCAGTAAGTAGATTCTTTGAAGTCTTACAACTTTTGTCTGAAATCTTTTTGTTTAAAATCTCGCGTTTACAAAAAAATCGGGTGACCCGGGTGGTCTGAAACATCATGTATATAATATATATATATATATTTGTATATATATTTTCATTTTATCTTTCATATCCCATAAGAATTAGTTAAATTGAGACAGTGAGTCTTTTTAATAAATGGTGGCAATCTTATTTGAAAAACTGCTAACACTTAGAATTATTATGTAAAATTTTATTAATAAAAGAATTGCAATTTCTTTTATTTACGACAATACGGAATAATAAAAAAATAATATGTCCACACATTTTGTTTTAATGAAAATAATATATAATATAATATAATAGTATTAATATAATAATATTACTTTATACAGTTGTGCATACATATGTAGGCAATAAGCACACATATTATAAAATTAATCATTAATGTTATTATTTCTTGTTCAATCATTTCTTGACACGCATATTATTATTAATGTTTATTGAATATTTCGGCGAAAGAAATTCATTAACTTAAATTATAATTCATATATTGGCTCAATTTATTTACTTCCTTTCTTGTTAATTTATTAATTTTTAATCTCGCGACAAAATTTGCCTTTGTTAAACCATGCTCTGAGTTACAATAAAACCAAGAGTAAACTATCTATAATAACAATACAATTTTTTGTCGTTTATCTTTGCATCAAATCGCGCGTAGGTATCTCCATAACTGCCGAATATCAATTAACCGAGTCGGTTTGGGAATAAGCGTGGATCAGTGTCCGTGACAGAAAACCTCGTTGAGTGGCCCCTCGAAGCTGGATCGTTCATGAACGCCTTTGAAATATACGTTGTTTGACCGGTACCCGTCATGGGGCACAATGAGGCTCGTTGGGGGTTGAGCGTTGTCGCCTGAAGGGCTATCGATAACTTGTCGTCGCCAAATTACACGCGCTCGCATTGCGTACGCGATAGGTTCATCGCAATTGCATACATAGTATGCACATATATAATACATACGATCACGGATAATAATATAATAACTACATACGCATGTCAAATTACTGATTTCTTTCTCAGCAAGTTATAGTCCTTCGCTCTCCTTCCCTTTCTTCTTCCCCCTCTCTTCCTCTATCATTCTTTCTTTTTTCTCATACATATATAGGGTGTCTCAGAACTTTGGCACACGGGCTCCGTAGAGATATAGAGCTAAGTGAGAGGAACAAAAAAGTCCTCTACCATAATGTGAAAATCGTAATAGTTTTTTAATTATAACAGTGCAAAGTTAGACGTTTTCCACGCCCAGCGCGGCCTATAGATGCTCCGCGGCAAGTTGTGTGCGTAGGGGCTGAGCGATAACGCGTCTCGCGCTGATTGTCGCGATGGTGTCTTAGTGCTTTGACCCTCTTAGCTCTATGTCCCTACGGAACCCGTCTCAAAGTCCTAAAGACATCCTGTATATCTCTTATTTCCACTCGCTTCGTGCTCCTTTCGCTCAGTTCCTGTCGCTCATATACTCGTGACCTTGCGCTTGATTCCGTGCGTAATAATATCACATTTCTAGAATTGTATCACATTTCTAAAATTATGATTACGATTTCATAGAAAAATTCAACTTGCAATTCAACAAAAATATAATCGAGGAAAGCTTACTTTAAATTCCCGAATTGTTCGAAAAAGTGACTTTTATGTCAGTTATTAAAACAAGAGAAAGTCATTAAACAACAAGCTATTATAACTTCGAATATATTGACACATACACACACCTAAATCTTTTTTATAAATTATAAATATAATATCGATATAAATCTTATTATTTTTACTATATATACAGGGTGTCCCATTTTAAAAGACCTACTCAAATATCTCAGAAACACTGTGTTAAATCGAAAAATGCTTAAGACAAAAGTTGTTTAGCTTGAAGGATGACGTAGGACAGCGACAGCATTTTGTTTATAGATGGCGCCATTTTCGAGATATTCACTAATTATCAATTTTCTTAAATGGAAATTCCAGTTTTTTAATATATCATCTTTTTCTACCAATTAATTTGAATAACTTTTGTCTAAAACATTTTTTATTTGCTTAATATATTTAGAAATATTTAAGGAAAACTTGGTAACTTTTCCAACATTTACCTTACGTACCTCACTATTTGTCGAAAGAAAAAATAGTATTAGATTTTTTCACTTTATTTATTATCAAGAATATATTACTATAATAGTGTTTTAACTTTTATTAATTTATCGACCTATGGAAAATTCAAAGTTATTAAATTAATGAAAGTTAGGGCACTATTATAGTAGTATACTCTTGATAGTAAATAAAGTAAAAAAGTCTAATACTATTTTTTCTTTCCACGAATAATTAGCGAAATATCGTAAGGTAAATGTTGGAAAAGTTACCAAGTTTTTCTTAAATATCTCAAAATATATTAAGCAAATAAAAAAATGTTTCAGACAAAAGTTGTCCAAATTAATTGGTAGAAAAAGATAATATAATAAAAAATTTGGATTTCCATTTAAGAAAATTGATAATCAGTAAATATCTCGAAAATGGAGCCATCTATAAACAAAATGCTATCGTTGTCCTATGTCCCCCTTCAAGCTAAACAATTTTTGTTTTAAGCATTTTTCGATTTAACGTAGTTTCTAAGATATTTGAGTGGGTTTTTTAAAATGGGACACCCTGTATATATATATATATATATATACATTTATATATATATATACTTTTATTAATTTATCGACCTATGGAAATTTCAAAATTATTAAATTAATGAAAGTTAGGGCACTATTATAGTAGTATACTCTTGATAGTAAATAAAGTAAAAAAGTCTGATACTATTTTTTCTTTCGACGAATAATTAGCGAGATATCGTAAGGTAATATATATATGTATATATATATATATATATATATATATATATATTATAAATATCATTTAAAAATAAAAGTCTTATTTATGATATGTTTATGTTGTTATTTCACAGATATCTGAAAGATGTCGTCGACTGTGGTAAAAAATATTGCGAAAGGTAACAATGGCGACGTCAGAGAGACTTGGTCAGGGAAACTTGATTTTTTACTGTCAGTTATCGGTTTTGCGGTCGATCTCGCTAATGTGTGGCGATTCCCATATCTTTGTTATAAGAATGGTGGTGGTAAGTATATTTCGACGTGGATGCTGACACGTTATGATATATTTCTGCACGCTTTATTTTTTATTGCTTCACGAATAAAGTGCTTCTCTCTATCATTGACGGCATGATGATAGAAAGACGATTTCAATAATTTCCCTTTTTACATCGTATCTACACATGTTTGTTATAAATAACGAATCATAATTTCGCTGTAAATGTATGTTTAAGTGAATAATATTCATTTCTTTGACTATAATTTTTTACATTATTGATGATATGGAAATATATTTTTATTTATGCTTCATTTTATTTTTGAGAAAAAATAAATATTGAAAACGTTTGTCAGAATTATAGTTCGTATTGTCAACATTACTTACATATATTCAATTTTGTAATTTATTTGGTTCTTATTTCTTCCTAACAGAACGAATTGTAAGTTTAAAAAATGAACTAATTTTTAACCAATGCTAATCTGTATTTTGTTATAAAATATTATAAGATTAATCGATTAGAATACCAAATTGTCTCGTACGCTTGTCGATGTAATTATTGAGTTGTGCCTATTTGAGGGTACCTTTCGTATTTTTGATTTCGTTTAATAAACTCTAATATAGTGACTGTTTCCGTTTAGGAAGCAAACACAAATGTGAATTACTCTTCTGATACTTTTATCGTACAAAGAAACTTAATCAACTACTCGCAATATGGTTGACCGTTTCGTAATTAACTCGGGGGTTGTACGCGTCAGGTAATATTCTTCAGCAGACAAGCGATATCGCGCTAACTGGCCGACTAATTGGCATTTACCTCGTGGAAAATAACTTCAGAATTTTAGATTTCGCTTAGTGAAGGTTCGCGACTGCGGAGCACTCGCAGATGTCTAAATTTGTTGTAATTAAATAGACAAGATAAGAACGTTTAGGTCTCTCTCTCTCTTTCCCTCTCTCTCTCTCTCTCTCTCTCTCTCTCTCTCTCTCTCTCTCTCTCTCTCTCTCTCTCTTTTTCTCTCTCTCTCTCTCTCTCTTTCTCGCAAATATCATGCGCTTGAGGGGATCCCTATCCCAGAGTGCAAAATAAATAACGTTTTCTCTCTCTCTCTCTCTCTCTCTCTTTCTCTCGCAATTAATATAATGATATTACTTATATCATTATTATTTTACACAAGTTCGAAAGTGATTAAAATTATGTGACTGTTGTATAAATTGTATTCGTATATTAATATTTTGAGTAATCAATTTAGACATGTTTAATAATAATTTTAATTACTAATCACTTTTGATATTTAAAGATAGAAGTAAAAATAACTGTACTTGATTTTACAGCAATATAATTTCGCATTTGAATATTTGAAAGAGATAATTATTAGTGGTAGCTTCTAAGAATGGTAATTTATAATCCTTTACGATAAAAAAAGATGCAGACTGTTTTCAAATTTCTTAGACAAACTTGTAGAATTAATTTTTCATATTTTCAACTCTTCCCGTCACAAGAAATAAACAAGAAATAATTTAAGCTTATGCTTGAAAACGATTGGAGTTAAAATTATTATTGAATGGTTAAATCCAACAATAATATTTTGAATTAATAAAATCTTGCCAATATCGTCATAGTTCACAGTTGATAATAAAATTTTCTCTCTGATTTTAATTCTTTAAATTAGATTTTTATTTGTGAAAATATTTAAAGTCTCTTGTGTATTTAATTTTAAGTTAAAATTTAGAAAGATGCTTTATTACATTTTTTAATATCTGTATAATTATTTATATAATATAACTCTCCTGAAACCTTCAAAAAATGTGATAGTTCATTGCGATATATCATTACCTGTGTTTAATTAGATGGAAAATATAATATTTTGAATATTTTTTGTGACTTCTAACTCATATAATACGATAATAAATAGTAAATGAAAAAAAATTTTAGTGCACTACAAATATTGACATAAGTACACTCCGTTCAATATTATTTACATTATAGTAAATCATAGCAATTCAGGGCAGATTATACAGTCCAAATTACGATCACCTGTTACATCCGCGTATTGATCGCATTGCCCGCAGCCTCGCATCTGCGAGCATTGTAAATAGTCAACATTCCTCCTGCAACCATATCACACCTCGACTGTTAACATTATGCGATGAATTTGCATAACAGACCTCGAGATAATAAAAAAACAATTTATCAGTTAACATTTACAACTCTTATACATAAATCAATATACATTCCTTATTTATCCTTCTTGTTTTTGCATTAACAGGAAAAAGGAGAAACAAGGAAGAAATATTTTGTACAATATATATAGCGATTATAATTTACTTTGTATAAGTTTTTGATGATGCAACATATCGCATAATATTTGAAAGCATATTCATGAGCAGTATTTTCATATATTGCTTTATTTATATTATTTTATTACACAAAATATCTTATGGAATTATAACAAGTTTTATGCCGAATTATATGGATTATCGTCGAAACGACTCGAGATATGAAAAAATGGAACGAAATAAAATTGAATGATATACTAGATGTTTACTAAATATTATATATTTATGTTTGCATATATAATTACAAAATGCAGTTCTATTTTTTCTAAACGAGGTATTTTAAAGAGTCATTTTCTCTTAATGCAATTTTTATTTTTTTACAAGAAAATATTAGAATGTTTCAAAAAAGAATTATTAATTTAAAACAAATAATTTAATTTGTTCGTAAAATAAAATTTCTGTGAGTCAATATTTTTATATAAAATTTGTTATTTTATTCATTACTTTATAAGAGTTGTTCAAATAGTTCATTATTTAAAATATTTTGTTTTTATTTTTATATATTTATTATATCTCTACTATATCTTTAATTTATTACTTAGTAATTTTTAATAATTAGAAATATCAATATGTTTACAGAATTCAACATGTTTATTGAATATATTAGGAGTACAAATAAGTTTCCGTCGTTTTCTATCATAAATTAGGAATTTATTGTGAAAGAACGGTACATTACGTTTTATTCAAAATATTGTCCATCACTAGCCACTACTTTTTCCCATCTTTCTGGCAGCATTCGGATACCATGTCGGAAGAACTCTTCATCTTTTGAGGCTATCCACGAATCGACCCAATTTTTAGTATCTTCATATGATGTAAAGCGCTGCTTAGACAGGCCATGTGCCATCGACCGGAACAAGTGATAATCAGAAGAGGCAATGTCTGGTGAATACAGCGGATGGGGTAGGACTTCCCAATTAAGTGTTTCCAAATAGGTTTTGACCGGTTTTGCAACATGTGGTCGGGCGTTGTCATGTAGGAGAATGATTTTGTCGTGTCTGGAGTAGTAATGGGTGCGTTTTTTCTTGAGTGCTCGGCTCAATCTCATTAATTGTGTTCAGTAGAGAGCTCCAGTAATGGTTCGCTCGGTTTGAGCAACTCATAATACACGACATCAAGCTGATCCCACCAAATACACAGCATGAGTTTTTTTCCATGAATATTCGGTTTGGCTGTCGATATTGAAGCATGGCCAGGTGGTCCCCATGATTTTCTCTTCTTTGAGTTATCGTAGTGGATCCATTTTTCATCACCAGTGATTATACGATGCAAAAAGCCCTTTCTTTTATGCCTGGCAACCAGCATTTCACACGTACAAAATCGACGTTTAACGTCTCTCGGCTTCAGTTCATATGGAACCCAATTTTCTTGTTTTTGAATCATTCCCAACGATTTTAAATTGCGATGTGAAATTGCTTATTGAGTCACTTCTAATGTAAGTGCAAGTTCTTTTTGCGTTTGGCACGAATCTTCCTCCAATCATGCTTCCAATTCCGTGTCGTCGTACACTTTCGGCCTTCCACTACGTTCTTTGTCTTCCACGTCAAACTCACCGTTTTTAAACTTTTGAAACCACTCATGACAACTTCTTTCACTTAAAGCAATCTCACCATATGCTTCTACAAGCAATTGATGCGCCTCAGCTGCAGATTTCTTCAAATTAAAAAAGTAAATCAAAAGTTCCTGCAAATGATGCTTATTCGGCACAAAACTTGACATTTTCGCACAAAAAAAATTATGTGATGCTGATACGGAGTCACTAATACTTCAAGGTTATGTTGTTACCAGATGTCCAAACTTACGACATTACGTTTTATATCTGACAATTTCAATATAACCTTCTGGTGGGGCCATCTTTTGTCAAACGGCGGAAACTTATTTGTACTCCTAATATATATTATATATTATATATTGTATATTATATATATTAATATTATATATATATATTATATAATGTATGATATATACAGGGTGAGGAAAAAATACCGAGACCTCGAAATATATTGAAAAATATAATTTTTATGAAAAAATGTTTTAGACAAAAGTTGTAGGGTTTCAAGTAACGCATTACATACCCAAATAGCACACGGACGTCTATTGGACGTCCGTCATATATCCATTTTTTTTACAAAAGACGTCCATAGGACGTACGTTTATCACAACTTCGGACATGGACGTCCGATAGACGTACATCGGACGTCCTACAGGTCCCATGTCCAATAAGGACATCCTTGTTACGTCCAATTTATGTCCACGGACGTAAATCGGACATACGGACATAAGTTGGACGTGAAACGTACATCCATTGGATGTCCGGTGCTGTCAGCAATATCAGTACCTTGAATAGTGTTGTCAAGGTTACGTGAAGGTCATTTTAAATTTCTTAAATGGAACTCCCTATTTTTCATTACATATTCTTGTAGCTTATCTCGAGGGATTTCCAAAACACTATAACTTAATGGTTTTTCGTTAAATATTTTGCTAGTTACAAGATAAGTTCTTGTAGCACTTCTTCAGATCTTTACAAAACTTATCTGCTTTACCCACTATAAGTAAGTCATTTCGAAATTATCGAGCTTTTTATGGTAAGATGTCTAGCTCACGAAGGCGAGATCGCCAATTGTCCAGCCAACTAAAGCGAGACTGTCCAGCCAACTAAAGCAAGACTGTCCAGCCAACTAAGGCAAGACTGTC